AGAACATTTAGAAAAGCAGATAAAAAAGGAATAGGTATGCAGTAGGCAGAAGAGTGACATATTGTCTAGTTAGGTGTGGACTGTGAGAATGACTATAAAAGTTTAGTAGGAGTTATGGAATAAACAAAGGAGCAGATCATAAGGAAATCATCTTGGAATTGTGCATAAAAGGAGTTGTACTAGGGGTGCCTGGGTGGCTCAGTCAGTTAAGCAACTGAGTCCTGGTTTCATCTCAGGTCATGATCTCAGGGTCGTAAAATCAAGCCCTGTGTCTGGCTCTGTGCTCAGCAGGGAGTCTGCTTGAGATTCTCTCTCTCCCTCTGCCCCTCCCTCTGCTCATGCTCTCTCTCTCTCTTTCCCCCTACCTCCCTTTCAAATAAATAAATAAATCTTAAAAAAAAAAAAAGAAGTTGTACTTAACCTGTATATTTAGACATATTTTAGATACTACAGAACAATAGGCTCACATGTCCATGTTGCCTTTCTTGTCCTATCTTGTCCTATCTGCTGCTAGATGGAAAGGAGCTGGGTAGATGAGTCAACTAACTGTCCTATTGAATACTTTTTGCTTTTAATTCTATTTTGTCTAATATTAATATTGCTAGTTTTATTTTGTATATCTTTTTAATTCTTTTTTCATATTGTTTTATTTTAAATATAATTTGTATAGATAACATATAGCTAGATTTTGTTACTATTTTTTAATCCGACCTCAGAATTCTTTTGAGGAATTCAGTACATTTACATTTATTATAATTACTGATATGTTTAGACTTACTCTTATTTTATGTTTTCTTAGCGTTATTATTGCTTGTTTATTTCTTTTTTCTCACTAATTTTTTTCTTTTGCCTCTTCTGCCTCTTGTTGGATGTATCAAGTTTTCTTTGTTTTTGTTCTTCTAGCTAGCTCTTCCTTTAAAATTCTATATTGCATATGTAGATTTGTATTTTTCCACCAATATCTATAGAAAATGAACATTTTAAACTTACCCCTTGTGAGTCAAAACCTTATCACATTTTCACTTCCCTCCTACTTCTTGTTCTCTTCCATGTTTATTCAGATCTTTGGGATTTTAGTTCCAGTTGTTACTTCAAAATATTTTAGTGTGCATTAAAGATTATAGACTTACCTAATTTTTTTTCACTAATTTCTTTGCTTACTTCTTGCTTTTTAAAATTTCTGCCTTCCTTTTTGTTACATATACAGTTTATTCTGCTGGGTACATTCTTAAGTAATTATTTTTTTAAGATTTTATTTATTTATTTGACAGAGAGACACAGCGTGAGAGGGAACACAAGCAGGGGGAGTGGGAGAGGGAGAAGCAGCCTTTCTGTGGAGCAGGGAGCCGGACAGCCTAAAATATAATTTGCCCTTTCATTTGAATGAGTTTGGCTAAATTATTCTTCAGAAATTTCTTTGGTAATGTTCTTCTTGCATCCATTCTTGGTGACCCAATTTGTTTTCAGTCTTTTGTTAATAACTTTTTTCTCTCTTTGGAATATTAAAATAATTTTTTTCTTTATCTGTGTTAGGAAATTTCACCATGAAGGTCTGGTGTGTATTTTATTCTTTATTTTGGGGACTCTCTTAATATGTAGACTTGTATCTTTCTTCAGCTCTGGGAAGTTTTCTTCTATAAGTTAATTATGTCTCTTTTATTCTCTCTGTTCACTCCTTCTGGAACTCCTACTAGATGAATGTTGGAACTTCTGACTCTCCTCCACGTTTTATACTTTCTCTCCCAGTGTAGAGTCTGCTTGTTCTTCTCCCTCTGCTCCTCACCCCCACAATCTCTCTCTCTCAAATAAGTAAATAAATAAATAAAATCTTTAAAAAGAAAAGAATAAGGTCACCTTACCTCTCCTGGGTGTTTGTTATTACCTAGAGCACTGACCTGCCTCTCTGGCCTCAATGTCTACACTCCTGTGTTAGCCTCTTAAAACATACCACAACTGCATAATATTTTTCACAAATGGGAGATTGGCAGGGGCAGACTACCTACCTGCTCAGAACACTACATCAAAAACTAATGAAACTAATGAAACTAAAAAAAAAAAAGAAATACCACCTGTGGGGGGAAAAAAAAATACAACATTTCAGTAAATTGCTCAGACAAGTATCTCAGGACTCTCTCTCCTTAATCTGTTGATTTTTTTTTTTATAAGGAAAGAGTTTTTTAAAAAATTGAAGTATAGTTGACATACAATGTTGTGTTAGTTTTGGGTGTACAACATAGTGATTCAACAATTCTACACATTACATGATGCTCACCATGATAAATGTAGTTACCCTCCGTTGCCAGTTATTACAATATTATGTCTATTGATTCTTCTGCATGTGTTATGGATAATTTCCTCCAGTTTTATTTTTCTCATAGATTTGATCCTCTTCATAGATTTTATTTCTAACATTAAACTTTCTGGTCTACCAGTGGCATGCTTTCTTGTTTTCCTGTAGTTTTATGGATGGAGACATACACACATAAACACACATATACGTATGTCCATCCTTTCAGGGAATTTGAAGAAGAGTAAGTATACAGAAGGCTGCATGTGCTATCTTGATCCTTTGTCTCAGGTGTTTCTTTGGGCATTCTTATTTTATGCTTAAGCAGAAAAAAATGGCTTCAGAATAACTCTTCTCCTCTCAAAAGTGTTGTACAGCTTCATAATACACCTTTAACTTTCCTTCATTTGCAGGATTTCTTTTGTTACTGTTCTTGTTTATAGTCTTTAATTGAAATGATGAAAGAGGAAATAGATCTATTTAAAACAAAACCAAATAGCTACTTTGGTCTAGATTAAGATGTGGTACCTGAGTTAGGATTCATTTGAGGGATTTCTATTCTTTATACACAAATATTTTTGGAAAAATCCTTCCTTTACTAAGTTGGCCAGGATACAGAAGTTTTTTGGAAAGTTCTTGTATCATTTTTATTAGTTTGCTAACTAATCTTAGTAACAGGGCTGTATCTAGCTACAAAGTTGAATGAGAAATACAATCTTCGTGTATAGGTAAGAACAGATAATGGGACAGTCAGCTAGCAGTTTCTGTCATAGGTATGCAAAGCATCTAATGTAGTGCCTGGAGCTAAGTATTCAAGAAACGGTTATTAATAATTATTATTATCTTTGGCTGAGCCATTTAAGATCTCTCCTGGCTGCACCAGTTTGCATTCCCATCAGCAGTGTACGTACAAAGGGTTCCTTTTCCTCCATATCCTCACCAGCACTTGTTTCTTGTGTTTTTGATTTTAGATGTTCTGACATGTATGAGGTGATATTTCATTGTGGTTTTGATTTGCACGTCCCTGATGATTAGTGATGTTGAGCATCTTTTCATATGTCTGTTGGCCATCTGTATGTCTTCTTTGTAGAAATGTCTATTCATGTCTTCTGCCCATTTTTAAATTGGATTGTTTGGTTTTTTGATGTTGAGTTGTATAAATTCTTTATATATTTTGGATATTAACTCCTTATCAGATATATCATTTGCAAGTATCTTCTCCCTTTCAGTAGGTTGTCTTTTTGTTTCATTGATTGCTTCCTTTGCTGTGAAGAAGCTTTTAATTTTAATTTAGTCCATTAGCTGTTTTTGCTATTGTTTCCCTTGCCTTAGAGACTTACCTAGAAAAATGTCAGAGAAATTATTGCTTGTGTTCTCTCCTAGGATTTTGATGGTTTCAAGTCTCACATTTAGGTCCTTAATCCATTTTGAGTTTATTTTTGTGTATGGTGTAAGAAAGTGGCCCAGTTCTATTCTTTAGCATATGTCTGTCCAGTTTCCCCAACATTTATTGAAGAGACTGTCCTTTTCCCATTGCATATTCTTGCCTCCTTTGTCAAAGATTAATTGACCATATAATCATGGGTTTATTTCTGGGCTCTCTGTTCTCTTCCATTGATCTATATGTCTGTTTTTGTGCCAGTTCCATACTGTTTTGATTACTATAGTTTTGTAGTATATCTTGAAATCTGGGATGGTGATACCTTCAGTTTTGTTCTTCTTTTTCAAATTGCTTTGGCTATTCCGGGTCTTTTGTGGTTCCATACAAGTTTTAGATTATTCTTTACAACCATCTCTTAATAGATAATATAAAATAACTTTCAGAAGATACACTATAGCCAAAAGAATTAAATAGTCTATAGTTTCAGCTATATGCATCCATTCTGAGAAGTGAGTTGGTTACTACCTTCTGTTTTCACATATTGTTTGCTAAAACTAAACCATGAAATATAACTATTATTCTGCTCTCTTTGTATACCTGACTTATCAAGAGACCTTCAAGAAATTAATATAAGTCTGATAATTTTAGTTAGATCCATAGGGTGAGTTGCACATCATTGTCTGGTTAGAAAAGTAAACAGGCAAAATGGGATATAGTAGGTACAACGTACGCTAGTTCCTTTTCTCCCTTCTTACCACCCGCTCCTCAAATTTTGTAGCCAAGCAACTGCTAGTTTCTAATAATCAACTAATATGTTACCAACCTTCATATGTTGAACAGAATCTTCAGACCTAATACTCTGCTTGTCACTCATAGGCACTTAATAAAGATTTGTTTGTTACACAAAGTGCCTTGCTTTTCTATAATAACATATATGTAGAGCTAAAAGAACTCTATTGGAGGAGAATATGAAAACAATTTTAGATGTGTTGAGGTTAAAGAAATAGTCTAAGTGAGAGTGCCCTGTAAGCATTTGAAATTTATCAATCTAGCGATTATAATGAAAGTCTTGAGAAGAAATGAGATTTTTGAGAAAATGAGAGGTTGAGGGAATGAAGAAGAGTAGAGAAATAAGAAGGGGACTTTTAGAGGTTGGAAAGAAGTTAACAATGACTTGTAACAATAATGATGCAAGATATAGAATCATCTAGTGTCACAGAAATCAAGGCAGAGAGGAATTTTAAGAAGAGATACTTCAATCAATGATGTCAAATACTATGAGATAATAGTTTTTAAAAGAAAATCATGAAATTTCTTCTTTCCTTCATTCAGTCTTATTCAGGCTCAGCTAGGATGCATTCCCATTCAAGACTTTGCTTTGACACAAGATACCGCGAAGATTTTCAGAAATGGCTCACGAATTACAAGATGTATGTTATAGGATTAATGGATTTTCAATATTTTTCCCAGTAAACTATTATACTAGATTTAACATTGGAAACTTTTTTTTAGGGTTGTCAGATTTTGTGGCTGTTCAAGAAAAGAAGTTTGCTGTGTTATTGAACAGTTTGATATTAGCTAAATGTTTTAGATGCAAACTTTGGGAAAACTCTCTACATATATCCAAACAGCTGGAAAAAATTGGTAGGTACTGAATACAGGCAGGCAATTTGTCAATGTCTGCAGTTTATTTTGTTTTTCATTGTTAGGAAAATTATCCTATGGTGTTTATAGACCTTAAGAAAAAATGTGTTTGTAGGTATAAATAAGGTACTGAACTTTACTTCTCTTGAAAATCTGATTTTCATTTTCTCCTGCCTGAAGGATTCTATTTGAAATCAATTGGGAAACTAATAAAAATGAATGCTCTTTTTTTTAAGATTTTTTAAAATTTTATTTGAGGGTTGGGGCAGAGAGAGGAGAGAGAGAGAGAATGAGCAGGGAGGAGGATCAGAGGGGAGGGAGAAGCAGACTCCCCACTGAGCAGGAAGGCCTGATGTGGGGCTCCATCCCAGGATCTTGAGACCATGACCTGAGCCAAAGGCAGATGCTTAACCAACTGAGCCACTCAGGCGCCCCCTAATAAAAATGAATACTCTTATTTTTAAATTTGTTCTCAAACCAAGAGTGAAAGTTTGTTTTAGTAATTAGGTAACTATGTGTTGCTCTCTCTTCCACTTTTATGATTGTTTTGCTCTCAATGACAAGGTACAGAGCTAGCAATCCTAGCCATTCCTAATTCATTACAGAGAATTATGTCACTTATTTATATCTTAACTTTTTTCTCTTTTTTTCAGTAATAGGACAGTATTCGCACTGATCTTCATAGAGATTCTGTAGACAAAAGATTGTGCCTAATTATTTCCTATCTATTGAGATCTAGCTGAAGTTATGTACTGAAACAGTCTAGAGGGTGCCAGTTACAAAGACTGGGGTATAACTAAGTACTCTAGAGTTCTCCAGTTTGCTGCCTTTGATTTTGTGATCCTATTCCTCCTTCTCTCTAAGAAGAGAGCTGTTATTCCATGACTGACAGCTTTGTTAGCTTTATAATTTTATATGCATCTTGGGGACATTAAAAAATTATGTAGTCGGTTATTAGGGATTGTCTCATTATTCCTTAGAACAAAGATCTCCAACTATTTTGTGAGGAAGTGCTTTTTTATTTCCTTGAAGTTTGAAATCAGTGGGATAGCAGAGAACTGACCAGTCCTGGGAACTGGGGTGAAGATGGGGATTAGATGGTGAAAGTAAGGTCAAATTAGAGGAGGGATTCTTGACGTTAAGACTCACCTTTCTACTGAAGTCCTAGCAAACCAGATGCTGCACCCATCTCAAAAAGATGAGCTCTAAAGTGGGAAGGAGGTTCCATACAACATTTAGGAAATAACAACTTAACAGAAATTTAGAAATTAAGTTAAATGATTATTAAGAAAATTTTCATTATATTTGAAAAAGAGTCTTTCTGACTTTCTAGAATATTGTCAAATCAGGCATCATTTGCATCCTATCCCTTCCAAATTGTCGAACACCAATGTGTTTTTTACACTTACTCAGTATGGCTGAAGAAAAAGAAGCAAAAATTGCCCACCAAAATTCATACACTAGAAAAATGGGAGAATCAAAATAAAAAAGCAAATCTAAGTTCTTCCTGAGCATCAGGAAAAAAATAATGAATACAAATTGATTTTCAGCAATGTTTATAAAAAATTAAAATTCAAGAAAAGTTTTGAGGGAAAATGAACATGAAGGAATTATTAATACTAGGAGTTGTATCTTAAGAATGAATAAGAGAAATTCCCAAGGATAAATGTATGGAAAAAGAAATAGTGTAATATCCCCACCAGTAATATATGTGCCTTAGGCAAGATTGTAATATCTTGGAATTTTATACTTCTGACAGTATCTCCTATTTCAGGGTTTGGTTAAATTCATTTGTGAGTGTAAGAATTTTAAATTCAAGTTTCTTAAAGCATAAAGAAACAGAGGCAGTGCAAAGATGGAAGTGAACTTGATATATTTGAAGAACAAAATTAAAGCAAATGTGGCTAGAGAGTAGTCAGCAAGAGGAGACTGGTAGGAAATTAAATGGGACAGGTAGGCTGTGGTCAAGTCAGATAGGTAAGGGAGTTTGGTCATGGTAAGAAATTGTCACTTTATTCTAAATGCAATGGAAAGGAATTGGAAATTTTAGACAGAAGAGTAAAATTACCTGATTTCAGTACAGAAACCTAGAACTCTATTTCTAAGATGGAAATAGAGAGCCATAGCTTTATGAAGCAGTATTCCCATCCATAAATCATGTTGTCTTTTTTTCAAATATGAGTGTAATATGTAACAGTAGGAATCGCTTGGTACTTTCTCCATGAATGACATATGATAAAAATAAGAGTTAAATCATCATGTGGACCAAAGAGTTCCTCTTTCTTCTATTAAGCAAATACATGTTTTATTTCAGTTTGAAAAAGTAAATATGAACAATTGAATGTCAGAGCCCAAATAATTGAACTGAAAACTTTTTTATAAAACTTCAAAAATTAGTTATTAATCTGGATCTTTAAAAAAAACCTTTTTACTAATGTCATTGAAAAGTTAAGTATAGATTTAGTTTAAAATGGATTGTTTAAAACTGCTATTTGATTAATTTTCCACAGGTATAACATTGTCAAATGCAATGGTAAATGCAGGTTTGACCTCCTTTAAAAAAATAGAAGAAACAGATGCAAGGGAACTTGAACTGGTATTTAATATTCACTTATTCCTAATGTTACCTGAATTTTACCTAAATTTTAAGCCTACCTTTTATATCTTTATTTCTTCTAAAAAATTGTTTTTCTCGTCATAATCATAAGTATTTTAATTTAAGATTTTGGGTAATAAGCATTATTAAAACTATTGATGCTAAAAAGTGTTTTACTAAAAGAACTTCTAGTCTTGTGGTAAGAATATAATGATATAAATGTTTTTAGATTTTAAATAGACACCCCCCTTTTGGAACACAAATAAAAGAAACAGTGATGTATCTACCAAAATATGAACTTGAAGTGGAACAGGTAAATATTTTTTGGGGTTTTTTTGTTTGTTTGTTTTTTAGGTATTTTCATTGTCTTTTCAGGAATAAAGCTATCCATAGCTGACTTGGAGCTGAATAAGAGTAGTAAGGTTATCTTTAACACTTTTTATGCCTATCCTTTTTTTAAAGATTGCAAGATATAGTGATACCATGGCGGAAATATTAGTGACCATTATATTAAGAAACTTTGAACAGCTACAAACTAAAAGAACAGCACCAGATTCTCACTATGTTACCTTAATCATAGGTGATGCAGATAATCAGCTGGTTTTTAAGCACAAAATTATGTAAGTGTACAATTTCCGTTTGATTTTATTTCTAAGCATATACTATGAAAGAAAAATTCTGCTGAGAAACAGTACTAAAATCACTGTGGGATTAATTAAATTACATTTTCCTTTCCCTGAAATGGAGTAGTTTCTTGTCTGTTAAAGAAGTATTCACGTTGGGTCTGTTGTCAGTACTCAAATGAACAAAGTGTGAAATCTATCACCAAGGTTTGAAACAAGTGAATAAATGACCTTTAGGAGTAGCTATACCCCACTGTTGTTGAACTTTCTTATTTTGTTGCTTTTCTCCAGTCATTCACAACCTTACTACTCTTTCATTATCTTCCTCCTGCTCCTTCAAGATATACCTAATATTTCCAAATTAAAATCCAACAAACTACTATAGCTCCATTGTAAGATCAGGCAACCAGTTCAAATATATAAAGGAGCTACCTTCCCTTACACCTGATTCTCTAGCATGCCATTCTATGATTTTTACATCAGCCTTTTTTTCTGATACTGTTATTTTCTCCCAGGATGCCATAGGCAAACTCTAAAGTTAGCAGTTATAGGTATAGCTAATATTTTTTGAGCTCTCTGTAGGTTCCAGATAATGAATTGTTTAATCTTTGTATAGACAGATGCTATCATTATCTAAATTTAATAGAGGAAGAAATTGAGACCGAGAGTTTAATTAATTTGTCTAAGGTCATATAGGTAGTTTATAGCAAAGTCTAGATTTTAACCCAAGCAGTCTTACTTCAGAGCCTATCCTCCTAATCATATTACTTTACTTGTGAGTTCAGGATTAGCAGTGACTCTGAAATGGGAATCTCATTGTTGCCAGAGCACTGGAAGATACCTTCCCAAAATAGTCTATTCAAGGTTCCTAAAGGGACTATGGTGCCTAATAGAACATCCCTTTCACTGTTAACCACTTTACTGCACCTAGCTGTGACACATTTATAGAGAATATGTCATTGTACAAATCTTTGTTCTCTGTGACAAGTCTGAAGACAGTCTTGACTATATAAAGCTAAAATAAGTTCAATCTCAAAATTGGTGGCTGGTTTGTGATGTTATTGGATATAGACTATTTTATATGAATTTTAAAGATACTATTCAAGTTCTCACAAATTCGTGTATCCTATATATAGCCATTTAAAAGTGGTAGTGATTTAGGGGCAAGCTCATGGGTTGTTGATGTCAACTATATTTTTAGGTGGGCCTGAAATGAGGCAATGCAACTTGGAATCAGCTGTTTGGTCAGTGTGTAGTTAGAAAATTATGATTGCAGTAGCCCCATTGACACTCCATTTCTCCCTTCTCAGAATTTGCAGCTAGTAGTTTTCAGTACTGACTTCAGTTTACTACCAGATAGGACCTATCTAAGGGTCAATCTGCCCTTGATGATTAATGTATTATTTCATTTAGTATTTGGATCACTATTTAAATGATATGTTATTCTTTTTCAGGGATTCTATTTTGCTAAAAGCTGGAAATTGGACTAAAAAGATTGATGTGAAGAGAGCTTTTAAATCTGAAGATCTTAGCTTAAATCTAATTAGTTCTGAATATGGTCAGTTCATTGAAGTAATGAACACATAAATGTAAAGAATATGATAACATTTAAAAATTTCCTTCATGCTGAAACAGAAAAACAATTTAAATGATATTGTGTAAAAATAAGTTATTTAAATAATATGAATAATTTTTTTTTAATATTTTTATTCTTATATTATCCCCATACATTGCATCATTAGTTTTAGATGTAGTGTTCCATGATTCATTGTTTGTGCATAACACCCAGTGCTCCATGCAGAATGTGCCCTCCTCAATACCCATCACCAGGCTAACCCATCCTCCCACCCCCCTCCCCTCTAGAACCTTCAGTTTGTTTTTCAGAGTCCATCATCTCTCATGGTTCGTCTACCCCTCCGATTTCCCCCCCTTCACTCTTCCCCTCCTGCTACCTTCTTCTTCTTCTTCTTTTTTTTTTTCTTAACATATATTGCATTATTTGTTTCAGAGGTACAGATCTGAGATTCAACAGTCTTGCACAATTCACAGCGCTTACCAGAGCACATACCCTCCCCAGTGTCTATCACCCAGTCACCCCATCCCTCCCACCCCACCCCCCACTCCAGCAACCCTCAGTTTGTTTCCTGCAATTAAGAATTCCTCACATCAGTGAGGTCATATGATACATGTCTTTCTCTGTTTGACTTATTTCACTCAACATAATACCCTCCAGTTCCATCCACGTCGTTGCAAATGGCAAGATCTCATTCCTTTTGATGGCTGCATAATATTCCATTGTATATATATACCACATCTTTATCCATTCATCTGTCGATGGACATTTTGGCTCTTTCCACAGTTTGGCTATTGTGGACATTGCTGCTATAAACATCGGGGTGCACGTACCCTTTCAGATTCCTACTTTTGTATCTTTGGGGTAAATACCCAGTAGTGCAATAATATGAATAATTTTAAAGGAAGTTTCATGTATTTAGATATGTAAAAGATGGCATGGACTAAGATAAAAAAATTAACATTGTGTCTGTTCATTTATAGGTATTTTATTTTCCAAGATAATAAAATTTCAATTGTAGGAACATTGATTTTTATTTTTATGATGATAGATGTATAAATTTTAATTTGTTATTTTTTTAACTCTTGTTTTTTTTACATTTTTATTTCCTGGACTTGTTAGCTCTTTCATTTCAAAAGGTGTAGAAATATGAAAGATAATAAAAACAAATAAATGATCTCATGGCTAGATTTATATGCCTTAAATCCTTGTATACTTTTTTTCCTTTTTTCAGTTGGACTTGATATTCAGCAGAAATTTACAGTCTTTTACTTAGGACCCAAGAGGCTTGGAAGTCAAATAATTATGCGAAAAAAATCAGAAACAGAGATTTCCCGTTCGAAACATTCAAATAGATCTACGGTATCAGGACCCAATAAAGGTAAATGGCTATATTTATTCCTGTATTGCATTAAAGCAAAGTTACGGCTAGGGAGGAGTATCAGTGTTATAGTACTGCTCCATTCAGATGTAGATACTTGGGAATTAGATATTTAAGCTTCATAATAATTACATTAACAGTATATAGTAGGAATTCTTTCTTATAACTAATATTTGTCAAACTGGGGTGATATTTGGAGCACAAATTATTTGACTAGTTTTTGATATACAGTGCCCCTTTTTCATACCCACTCTATTCTTATGGCCATTGTTGGGGAAGAGCAAATGATATATAAGACTTTATAGATTTGATGAGGCAAACCAGGTGACAGTGAACTTTAATTTTTTTTATTATGGAATATTTCAAACATACACAGAAGTAGACAGACCTGTGTAATGAACCCTTATGTACTCATTACCTAAATTAAACAATGATTAACTCATGGCTTATATTGTTTCATCTATACCTCTCTTCATCTATACCCCTTCTATATTTTGAAGAAAATTGGATATCATATCATATTCTCTGTAAATGTTTCAGTATATATTTGTAAATGGTAAGGATTTAAGAAAAAACATATATTACTCTTACACATAAAAAGCTAATAGTAACTAATATCATCCAATCCTGAGTTAATATTCAGATTGCTAATTACCATATAAGTAAGGGGAGCAACTAATAGGTACTGAGGGATGTGAAAGCAGTGGTTCCTACCAAAGTAACCTAGACAGTTATGCTTTCTGAATTGGTAGTTATAATAAATAGTAACTGCAGTGAAAGAAGGCAGGAAGAGCACATATAGAATTATTCTGTGAACCCATGAACACTCATCTCCTCCTCTTTAAAGAACACAGAAGAGGGTGCCGGAGTGGCTCAGTTGGTTAAGCATCTGCCTTTGGCTCAGGTCGTGATCCTGATATCCTGGGATTGAGCCCCGTTTTGGGCTCCCTGCTCAGCTGGGAGTCTGCTTCTCCCTCTCCCTCTGCCTGTCCCCCTGCTCATGTCTCTCATGTGCCTCTTTCTCTCAAATAAATGAATAAAGTCTTAAACAAAAAAAGAGCACAGAAGAGCTAACATTTCTGGGTAGAATGCAGTAGTTTGTGGCAGGCCAGTGCATTCATAGTAACAACTATAAAGCCTACCTAAGTAATAAATATTATAATTTTTAGGACATCTGTGAAAGCAGACTAAAGGAACTAAAATTCTAGAGGGAGAACCATTTCAGGACTGAGGAGTCAAGGACCTGTAGGCTCTTAATTAAAAGCCTGAGTATGCTGTGCTCTCAGAAGGGGTTTATGTGATCAACCACTCACCATGTTTGCCTGACAGAGGAAAAGGGAAACCTTCTTTGGTGGAAAATTATAATCTGCAAATATAATCTGTATGGCAATTTTTTTTGCCATACAAAAAAAAATGATGAGACCTTCAAAGAGGCAAGACCATATGACTTATAATTAACAATATAAAGAAATGAAGCAGCTTTGTACATGATTCAAATAAGAGAGCTAGCATTTAAAGATTGTAAAAAATAACTATGATTAATATTTTCAAGAAAATAAAAAAATAAATGTATGAAAGGCTGGGAAATTTCACCAGAAAATTGTAATCCATACAGAGATTTAAATGGACTTTCTTGAATTGAAAAATACATTATCTGAAGTGAAAAACTTATTGGTACGTTTAATAATGGATTGGATATAGCCAAACTCAAGATCTGTGAACTGTTAAACATATCAGGAGAAAATATTCAAATTAAAGCCCAGAGATAAGAGAATGGAAAGAACACACACAAAAAACGTAATACTCAAAAGTTCTAAAATATGCATAATTAAAATCTCTGAAGCACAGAAGAAAAAGAATGGGACAAATGCAATATTCAGAGACAATGGCTAAGAACATTCCAAAATAATGAAAGACATCAACTCATAGATTCAGAATTTTAGCAAACCCCAGGAGACTAATGCACAGAAAACCACAACTGGGCATGTTATAGCAAAACGCTGAAAATCTTAAAAGCAGACACGGAAAAACTACATAACCGTCAAAGGAGCAACAGTGAAACTGATAGCTGATTTATCAACTTTGATGAAAGAAACAGAAGATAATGAACCAACAGCTTCAAAATGCTTTAAAACGTTGCCAACCTAGGTTTCTGTGCCCAGTGAAAAATATCTTTAAAAATAAAAGTGAAATAGAGACACTTTGAAGAAAAGCAAAACAAAACAAAACTGAAGCACTCCATCACTATTACTAAATTTATTGGCCTGCAGTAAAAGAGATACTTAAGGGAGTTCCTTAAAGGAAAATGACCACAGATGAAAGTGCAGAAATGCTGGAGGGAATGAAAAACTGTAGAGATGGCAAATAAATGGCTAACTCTAAATCAACTATTATAAAACAGTAATTGAAATGACTTCTAGAGTTTTAAATAGATGTAGAATTAAAATGCAAAAATGTTCTTACCTCAGGACTATAGCACATCAAATATGAGGAATATAGAAGGACAGAAATAATAAAGAGAAAAGCAGAAGTGAATGAAATATAGAATGTAAATGTACAACAGAAAAATCAACTAAGTTAACATTTGGTTCTTTGAAAGGATGAATAAATTTAAAAAGCCCTTATCAAGACTGATAAAGAGATAAATACAAATGAACAATATTAAGAATGAAAAAGGGGATACCACTACAAACATCAAAAAGATAAAGATATTGTGAATAATTTTATACCAATAAATTTGACATAATTTGGGTAAAAATGAACAAATCCTTCAGAAGCAAAACTTACTGATGGAAAAAATAGAAAATTTTAGTAGTCTGTTACTAGTAATGAAATTGAAGCAATTAAAAATCTTTCCACAAAGAAATCCTGAGGGTCAGGTGATTTCACTGGTGAATTTCCCCAAACATTTAGGAAAAAATAATATCAAACTTACCCAAATTTTTCAGAGAATGGAGAAGGAAAGAATAGTCTATGATGTAATTTTTTTGAACAGAACCAACATGGGGATCTTGATTTCAAAACCTGACAAAGACATTAAAAGAAAGGGAAATTATTCACCAGTGTACCTCATGGAAATAGATCCAGAAGTTCATAACAAAATATTAGCAAGTAGAATCTGGCCATATATTTAAAAAGCATACTACAGTACAATTAAGTATGGCTTATTCCATGTATGCAAGAGTGCCTTAGCATCCAAAGATGGATCAATGTATTTCACTACATTAACAGGAAAAAAAAAAAAGAAAACCATGTGATCCTTTTGATAGAGGTCAAAGAAGTTTGACAGAAATTTAGTGTTCATTTTTTATTAAATATATATATATATAAAACAAATGTCATGCACAGTGGTGAAATCATTTAAAAACTTTCCCATTTAGATGGAGAATGATACAAGAATGTTCTCTATTACTATACCTATTTAACATTGTGCTAGAAGTCCTAGTCAGGGGCGCCTGGGTGGCTCAGTCGTTAAGCGTCTGCCTTCAGCTCAGGTCATGATCCCAGGGTCCTGGGATCGAGTCCCACATTGGGCTTCCTGCTCAGCAGGAAGCCTGCTTCTCCCTCTCCCACTCCCCCTGCTTGTGGCTTGTGTTCCTGCTCTCTCTATCTCTCTGTCAAATAAATAAAAAAAAAAAAATCTAGAAGTCCTAGTCAGTACAATTATATAATAAAAAGAAATAAAAGTGATAAGGATTGGGAAGAAAGAAAGAAGCTCTCATTACTTGAAAGCAACATGATTACAGGGACACCTGGGTGGCTCAGTCAGTTAAGCGTCTGCCTTTGGCTCAGGTCATAATCCCAGTGTCCTGGGATCAAGTCCCGCATCAGGATCCTTGCTCCTTGCCTGCTTCTCCCTCTCCCTCTGCCTCCCTTTCACCCTGCTTATGCTCGTTCTCTCTCTCTCTCTGTCAAATAAATAAATAAAAATCTAAAAAAAAAAGAAAGCAACATGATTATATACCTAGAAAATCCAAAAAACTCTATAGACACATTGTTAGAATTAATATATAAATTTAGAACTATCGCTGGATACAGAGTCAGTATAAAAAAACTACAATAGTACTAAAAAGAATAGAATATTTAAGGATACATTTAATAAAATTAGTGCAAGATGTGATCACAGGAAACTACAAAACACCACTGAGAGAAATTAAAGAAGACATAAATAAATGGAAAGATATCCTATTATAAATCTTAATATTGTTAAGGTGGCAACATTTTCCAAATCAATCCACAGATTCAATGCAATCTATCAAAATCCTAGCTCTGCTTTTGGCAGAAATTCACAAGCTGATTTTAAAATTCATATGGGAGGAGGGAGGCAAGATGGTGAAAGAGTAGGAGACTTTGTTTCATCTGGTCCCTTGAATATAGCTAGATAACTATCATACCATTCTGAACACTTATGAATTCAACCTGAGATGTAAGAAAAGAATTGCTGGAATTCTACAAATAGAAGAGCAACCACTTTTTGCAAGGTAGGAGTTGCAGAGAAGTGAATCCGAGGGGATGTATCAGATGATAAATGGCAGGGGGAGGGAGCCTCCATAAGCCAGCTGCCGGAAGTTGATATAGTCCCAGAGTGCAAAATCGGAACCTTTAGAAGTCTGCCCCAGTGAGAGACATCCCTGCCTGATAGGTGCTCAGTTGGCGAAGTGGGGCAGAATTCTAGGTGGGACAGTGTGGTCTCAGGATCCTCAGGGTCACAGAAAGAATGGGAGTGCCTGAGCCAGCAGAGTTCCCAAGCACTGAAGTAGGGAAACCAGTTATGGTCAGTGAGCCCAGGAGGGGGCTGTCAGTTCTGTTTGCCATGAACTGAACCACAGCACAAAAGGGCAGAAATGCTACCACCCCTGCCTTCCCCTGGGAGGATCAGTGCAGACGCGCACTGCAGGAGTCTGCAGAGTTTGGCACACACAAAAGTGAAAACTGCTTATCCCTGAGGGTTTACTGAAGAGGGAGCTGTGATCTTTCAGCTCTGGGGCTGGAGATCAGGG